GGGGGGGGGGGGGGGGGTTGGAGTTGGTGTCGTGGAAAGATAAAATGGTATCTTCCTACTCTGTTAAAGTGTGGTATAACCAAACATCACGAAGCCAGATTTGCACAAATGTTCTCCAGCGAATAATATTTGGAATGTGACTGGTCTCAGCCAGAAGTTAACCTGAGAATGTGGAATTGTAATTCGGACCACGATCGGGCGAGGGACCTCTTCTTACTCTATTAAAATTTGCTATGATCAAAGAACGTGAAGCCGGATTTGCACAAATCATTTCCAAGAAGTAAGATTTGGAATGTGACCTCTCTCAGCCAGAATTTTAGTGGAATTGTAATTTGCTCAACGATCTTCTTTTTCCGTTTTCTTCATGATTTCTTTGCCGGAAGAATTCGCTATGTCTTTGAAATTATTCAGCAGACAAGAATCAAGGAAGTATTAGAAGTGATAAACATTTAAATAAAAAGCTACACTACTGCAGAGATCATCCCAAAGTTAAACTTGGTTTTCGCTTGATACACTTTCGTTTACAGAGTGAATGCAAAACACTAATAAATTCCATTTGCGATCTGAATAGCCGGCGAAACAATGCATATCAACCTTCGTCCCAGAATAAAGATCCATACAGAAGGGCCACTTATTTCGCATTGCTCATGTCGGCCGCCATTTTCCAGTCAATGACATTTTCTGGCCAATAAACTCGCTGTACTGCATGGCTGGCTGCCCCGTCTTCTGGCCAGTAAACTGCATATTTTTGCATAAAAAAAAGGATGTGTGCACCGATGAGTGGCCTTACTGTTACTGATGTTTATTCTGCGCCTTCGTATCGACATTTAATCTTCCGTAGTGATGCAAAACTTAGCCAAAATTTGCATTTTCTTCTGAGTTTCTTTCCTAGCTTAGTTTCTACACACATTTATAGAAACATATTGAAATTTATTCTTTCCTCAGTGGAATGGAGTTGTCCCATTGTCCACAACGATTTCAATAACGGGAACTATAGGAACGTGATTAAATTAGTTATAGGCTACTTTTGTCTGGTGTCTATATAATTTGATATTGACCTATACAATATATCATGTTTCGCTCGCTACTCTGGTTTAAATAAATGATTACAAAGCCCAGTCGAATTGTAATCAAGACCCAACATTTCGACACTCCAGTCTAGTGTCTTCATCAGGGGTGATCTAAAACTGCGATCGTGGCTTTTTAAATACCCAAGGGATGATGTCACCTGCCAATAAGATGCATATAATCCTATGGGAAATAGGCACCGTCATCCCTATTCAAAGCATAATGACTTATATTTATATGCCACGCTTCTAGGCAAAGTCTTTGACCATAGCGATTGTTTGTGGTAATTACTTTAGAGTTTCCCACGCAATTTCGTGTTTAGTGTAACATACATGTTCGGCTAAAGCTGATTTTCCCTTGTCTAAAGTTGAAACAGCCTTTTGATGTTCTTTTAGCTGTGTACCAAACTGGCGTTTAGACTGACCCAAATACTCTTTGTCGCTGTCACCGCATGATATAGAATATATAGCATGAGTCTTCTGATTTGTTTCAACAGGATCTTTTGGCTTTGCGAAAATATGACCTAAAGTCAAACAGGGTTTTAAATTAAGGCAACCTTAATATTACAATTACTGAAGATTCTCTTGATTGGTTCTGTGACACCTTGAATGTATGGAACTATTGCAAAACCCTTAACAGAGGTATCACTCTCGGAGTTATTTTGGTTCCTACAAACAGGTGGTCTCAGGCACCAGCTCAGGTGTTAGAACATATTCACGTTCATTAGCTTGAGAATCACTGTTTGACGGCAACGATTCAGCTCTTTGACGCAAAGTTTTTGCTACGGATCTTTTATGGCTTACTGGGTGATGAGAGTCGTATGACAAGTATTTGTCTGTGTGTGTGGGTTTGCGATAAACGTCAGTCTCTAACTTCCCTTCGACAGTTCTGTGCACATTCAAATCTAAAAAAGCTAAATGTCTATTTATCTCACGTTCTACCGTGAATTGGATGGACGACTCAATAGAATTTAAATGTTGCAGCAGAATATCGATCTCATTTGTAGAAACCGCAGAGATGACATCATCGACGAAACGTTTCCAAAACGATAGGGACACCGGAACAGAGGCTAAAGCTCTTTGTTCGACATCTTTCATTACTAAATTAGCAATTACTGCCGAAACTGGTGACCCCATCGCTGTTCCAAAGACCTGTTGATAATTACAGCCCTCAAACACAAAGTATGTGGCGTTGAGACAAAAAGACAGAAGATCAATAATATCTTCCAGAGGCCAGGATGTTCATTGTAACAAAGTGGCATCCTGTCTTAGTCTTTTTGCCGCAACCTTGATGGCAAGATCAACTGGGATATTTGTAAACAAGGAAACGACATCAAATAATACCAACACTTGATCTGCTTTTACATCATTTATTTAAACCAGAGTAGCGAGCGAAACATGATTGATATACCTGGTTGCAGTGAACGAACAAACTTTATGTCTTTACAATATACTTAATTAAGAACGGCATCAAATTTTAGAAAAGATATACAATTCCTGCAATTTGTTCTTTATTAAAATCTTAATTAATTTGTTTTAGATACTTTTTGTTGCTACCAAAGGTTCTAGTTATCGCGGTGATATAGCGTTGGATGATATTACCTTTAAAATCCAGGGATGTTGAACTATGATAATACTACAAATATTCCAATTACACCGGGTAGGTATCTTTCAGAATATTTCTATGACATCATTGACACTTTTTAAGGTATTCAAATGTTCTATAATGAGTAACTCGTAAATTTTTGGAGCACAACGTTTAGTTCGAGAATGATGTGAAGCATCTCCATAAATATTTTAATTGAAAAATACAAAACATTTTTCGCGTTTCTATAGAAACACGCGTATAAGTTTAGGAGAACAAGAACTAAGCGGTTTGGAAAATTAGGCAGAATGGCGAATTTTTTCAAATTATTTCAAATTTTACCACACTATTACACACAATTTACAAAATGACTTCTGTCATAACAATTCTTGATATTGTGCTTAAACTCATCCACTGCGCTGAAAATATAGGACTCAATAAACAACGAACATACCCCTTTCTGAAATAAATAATATCCATGCATAGCTAGCTATTCAGTAAACACCTCCTATTTTTTGTTGTAGAAATAAAGAATCACCAAATCTAGAAGAGATGAACGCTTGAACAACAAAAATAGTTTCTTACTAATCATCATAATCCTTTCACAATATTTTTAATTATTTTTAATAACCATAATAATGTAATTTAAGTAGTGATTGTAAGTTAACATTAAGAAGTAAGAATTTGCAATATTGTCAACATGCATGCGAAAAACTTCTATTAATAAGGTTTTCGTGCATAGTTGTTATCATTCATAACTTCCTTTTATCATTTTTCTTATCGTGTATTTCTTCAGAAGAAACCTATACCATATATTTGTACTGAAACATTGTTTAAAATTAAAAAACATATCATATAAAGGCATTAAGGCTACAACACTTGGACCATTTTAGATCTATTTGTCCTGAGTAGCGCTGTAAATTATTTGGCTGATTGAGCTAACTTGCAACAGGGGAGGGACATTCCACAAACCCGTCGTCAGATAGTCGGCAATTATCGAATCCAAGTCGGCAAATTCTTTTCGCAGTCGGCAAAACATGAATTGGACAAGAAGAGAAAAAACTAAAATGCATGCGTGATAATAATTAAAAACTAATAACTATAACTAAAATTTGGAGATATTTACGAAAACATTAACGAAAATTTAAACGAATAATGGTACGATAACCAAAAAGATATTGAAAATGTAATGTCTGGAAAATGTTTTGATATTTCTCCTCCCACACTCCCCCCCTGCAAGCTGCTCGCCAAGAAATTTGGGAAAACAAAGTGCTTCAGGTGATTTGGCAAAAACTCTCCCCCCCCCCAATAAAATAGGGCTAGCGACGCCCTTGCTCGTTTACAAAGTTCATTTAAGGTGGCTCCCTAGGGTTTTATTTCCGGGGGTTACGTTCTTCGTATATATGTAAACTAAAACTCGTGTGACTTCGAAATTCGAACGAAAGTTGTGTTTTATATGGAACTCTTTTTTGAAACAAAAGTGTGAACTTTGCTTTAGTTGAAAGCATAAAAAGAGTTCTAAAAGCCAAAACGATACTTGGATCTGTTGTTTCAAAAGAAGATAATGTAAACTTGTTTTTTTTTCAAGCGGTATTCTCGAAGTTTTTTGAACCGCCGTACGCGAGGTTCGATCGCGAACATTGGGATATGATATAATGTTTCCTCAAGAATTTGCAATGTTTTCTCCACATTCTAGCAGCACTTATGACAATAAAGATGACTTAAATAATGAGCCCTCTACGGGTGAAATGAGCGGGGCCGAAACTCCAAACATACCACTATAAAAACTGAAATTTGAAAGGGCATTGTGCGAAAACATCCGACGATAGGACTAACTCGCACGGAACGAATTTTGACAAACATTTTTCAAATTAATACCAAGAAGTCATAACCAGTAATTACCTAAATATCTTTGCCAATTTTACATGTATAATCCACGCTTAGTTGACCATTAACCGACACAGTTATAAACAGTATATCAAACATAATTTATATTTTGTGATTTCAAAAAATTAAGTCATGCCTTGTTGTTTTATGCAGAATGCATGTACAAGTCAGTTGGGTTATTAAATTGTTCGAGTAAAAATCTAGTAAAAATTGCCAAAATTAAACACAAATTTCTCTGCTTTAATATCGGCACAACAAGTGCAATATCCTTTTTTCTTAAAATTAAATCGAAGGGAAAATTTTTAATATTGATTTTTGAGGTTTTTTAAATATTCTAAGAAACGTATCGATTTAATATTTTAAAATTGAGGGGGGAAAATCATTATACAGGTATTATCTTTTATGCAAAGTTTTAAAAAATTTCACCGAAGGGAATTTTTAAAATGACCTGAAAAAGACAAATTTTGAGCTTTTTTCTAAGCATGCTGTTGCCATGACAACAAATTTTTAACACAAAAGTAGCAATTTGCAATGTTCAGGAAAACGTTCTCAATGTGTCCAATAAATTTCGTTTTCATGTCATATAAAGTGAAGAAACAGGAGTCTCCTGAATACTATAGTCTAGTAAATTAAAAAACCCTAGTGAGCCACCTTAAAATCATAATATAACTTTTTCTCTAAAATTTTGTTATATTTCTTGTATATCAAGATATTGGACTTTGCTTGGCATGCAAATATGAGTTAAATGACGTCACATTGCATAATGTATTTTATAGAAGACTGTTTTTTGCCTGATAAAATTGTCATTAACTGCTCAAATTTGCAGACGAAATGATAGCTTTGATAGTTCTTAAAGTATATAACTTTCAATGTCAGTGGAATTATCACATGTTCGGCAAGGAAACGTTTTCTTTCTAAAAACTCATTATGCAGAGACGTCATTTAAGTCACATTTGCTAATCAAACAAAGTCGAAAATGATGTTTTTGATGTTACTCTGAGTGTATATCCACACCGGGCGAGCTTGAAAAGTATGCCCGACCACGTTGGGAATCGAACCTACAACCTTTGGTAAACTAGCCCAATTCTCTGCCAACTCAGCTACGGGGTCAGGACGGTTCGAGTAAGTAATATTTCGGAACAGGTTCTGGTTCCTTCTATACCAATGTAATCTAGTAATATGATTTTTTCTGTGCTGGTGTTGTGTACTCAGGTGAATATGATGTTTTTGATGTTAGCCTGAGTGTATATCCACCTGAGTACACAACACCAGCACAGAAAAAATCATATTACTAGATTACATTGGTATAGAAGGAACTAAAACCTGTTCCGATATATCACTTAATCGAACCGTCCTGACCGCGTAGCTCAGTTGGCAGAGAATTGGGTTAGTTTACCAAAGGTCGTAGGTTCGATTCCCAACGTGGTCGGGCATATTTTTGAAGCTCGCCCGGTGTGGATATACACTCAGAGTAACATCAAAAACATCATATTCACCTGAGTACACAACACCAGCACAGAAAAAATCATATTACTAGGTTACATTGGTATAGAAGGAACTAGAACCTATTCCGAAATATCACTTACTCGAACCGTCCTGATCGCGTAGCTCAGTTGGCAGAGCATTGGGCTAGTTTACCAAAGGTCGTAGGCTCGATTCCCAACGTGGTCGGGCATATTTTTCAAGCTCGCCCGGTGTGGATATACACTCAGAGTAACATCAAAAACATCATATTCACCTGAGTACACAACACCAGCACAGAAAAAATCATATTACTAGATTACATTGGTATAGAAGGCAGTGGCGTGCTGGGTACTATTTTTCTGGGGGTGCCAGTGGGCTGTCAACCAATATGCGCCCCTATAATATAACACTTGATAAACGAGGGCCGAAGGCAGGAGCCAAGCGCCGAATTTCGGAGGTGCGAGGATTGTCTAGGGGAGTCCGGGGCATGCCCCCAAGGAAAATTTTTGAATTTAGAGTCTCTGAAATGCCATTTCCTGTACTTTGGGGGACGATTTGACAGAAATCTGATGGTCAGGAAACAGCATTATAACGTGTCGAAATTTCTAATTTGTACTTAAATTATGCAATGTTAACCACTTCCAGCGATTAATCTAATCCCAATTCTATTCTCTACTGACTTAGTGATCTGAATACATTTACAACTTACAGATCTTTTATACAATAATACACGGACCCCACGCATATGCATTTTAAGGTTTCCTTGCCTGGCTGCCAAAAGGGCGCGTTTCAGCATTATTTCATTACTTACATTACTCATGATGTTTCTTGCGCAAACAACTAAATTGCGTACACAACTTTACATTATCATAACTTCAACTATCTAATTTGCGCCGCTCTCGTGAAGCATAAATAAAGGGAGTAATATAAGGGCATAATACCAGCAAAACAGGGCATAATTCCCGTGATCGCTTTCAAACCTGACCAATATTTCGGTAATGAGACATTGCGTTTGATAGGTAGGTAGGTAGGTAGGTAAAACTTTATTTAAACACGCTTGTCTCGTCAACATGGTGCTGATTTCCACGAGGGGCGTCACACAAATAATACAAAATAAAATAATCAAGTTAGAAAGTTACAATTTAAAAATATTATATACAACTATATACAAAAGTTAGATTAGCACACATATAGCACAGAATCATCCTCTAGCTTGCACCTATCTCTTTTTTAAAGCAGCCGAGAGTATCCGCCGATTTAGCTGCAGACGAAAGGTCATTCCATAACATAGCGCCACTGTACTTAAAGCTTCTTCTTAGATATTCTGTTCTACGTTTTGGAAGAGTTGAATCATTTTCGCTATTTCTGAGATTATAGGTATTTTGTGTCACATTCCTTTTGTGAAGTGATTCTTTTAGACCCAGGGCAGCGTGGTCATTTAGCAATTTGTACATAAACACAGCCTTGGACTTATTTCTTCTATTGTCAAGTGTTTCCCAAGACAGGGTATTAAGAATGTCAAGTGACCTTACATCGTAAGTGGCACCAGTTATTACCCTTGCTGCGCGAGACTGAAATTTTTGTAGTTTGTTTTGGAGAAATTTACCACAGTTTCCCCATAGGGTGGAACAATAGTTAAAATATGGCTGCACTAGTGCTTTATATATGGTTTGTAGTGTATTAATATCAACGTACGGTTTAGCGCGTTTAATAGCCCCAATACTGGCACTTGCCTTTTTACATATTTTATCAATATGTTTTTCCCAGCTCAAATTTTCATCGATTTCTACTCCTACGCTTTCAAAAGAATGAGTTAATGGTACTGGTTTGTCGCCAAAAAATACAGCAGCTTCACCAATCCTATTTTTAAGATTGTATGGTGATCCAATGAACATTAATTTTGTTTTAGTTGGATGGTGTTGTAACTTATTTTTGGTAAGCCAAGTGTGAATATTTTTTAGATCATCATTTAGGTTTTTTACAAGTGAATCATAATCAAATGATGATACAAAAATTTCAGTATCATCAGCATAGAGGCAAGGGGTTGTAGATTTTAAACACTTTGGCATATCATTAATATACAGTAAAAATAATAGTGGGCCAACAATTGAGCCCTGTGGGACTCCACATGTTATTTGTCTAGGAGACGATGTATGACCATTGACAAAACACACTTGTTGTCTCTTTGTTAGATAAGATTCAAACCATTTTAGTTCAGCACCATAAATTCCAAATTTCTCATTCATCTTTTTTAGTAGAATAGAGTGGTCGATTGAGTCAAAAGCTTTTCTAATGTCAAGAAATACAACATCGTTTAACATGCCGTTGTCCATATTATTCTCTAACCACTGGTCGCACATTTGGATGAGTGCTGACATGGTTGAGTGCTTTTGCCGAAATCCTGATTGATATTTGGAAAGCAATAAATTTTGAGATAAATGTTCGTATAACTTATCAAAGACTTTTTTCTCAAATATCTTACTTATTATCGGTAGAATTGAGATAGGTCGGTAATTATCACATTTTTGCCTATCTTCAGATTTAAAGATTGGTGTTATCCTAGCCTTTTTCCATGCATCAATATAAGTACATGAATTAAGAGATAAGTTGAAAATGGCAGTTAATGATGGTGCTATTATATCTGCTGATATTTTAAGTATTTTTGCAGGTATGTTATCCATACCCGTAGCTTTTGAGACTTTAAGTTGACTTAAACTTGTGGCGACATTGATTTGATTAATTTGAGAAAAAACAAAGCGTGGGCCAAGATAACTGTTGGAACAATCTTGGGGGTCCGAGCTGTTTGTAAATTGACTGGTTGGGTCACACACTTCAGCCGCTAGCTTAGGGCCAATTTGTACGAAATATTCATTAAAGGCATCAGCTACTTGCTTATTATCTACGATAACTGAATTATTGATATGAAGTTCATTAACATTGGATGATTTCTTATTTCTGCTTAGTAAAGTATTTATCAAATTCCAGCTCTTTTTAACATCCCTACTCTGTAAGCATTCCTTGATTTTGTCACGAAAGTATACTTTTTTGGCGCTTCTCATGGCCACATTGACCCTGTTTCGTTCAATTTTATACATATCCCAATGTGCCGAAGAAGCATGTTTTATTGCTTGCTTTTTATGAAAATCCCTATTCTTCATTAACCTTTTAACATTGGATGTTATCCAAGGCACCGAGGTTCCCCTTATTCTCTTACATCGCATAGGCGCATGCCTGTCAAGAATTTCGAGGAAAATAGATTTCCAAGCTTGCCAGCATACATTAGGGTCGTCAAATTGGCATGCAATGTCCCAAGGGACTTGCAATATTTCTTCTATAAAATCACTTTCAACAAAATTTCTATAGTCACGAATTCCTCTGGTAGTATGCCTGCCTGATTTTGGTACTGTTATACTTTTAACTGCAAAAATCATACTATGATCGGATATTCCAAGATGGATCACACCAGAATTTGATATATTTTCTGGTTTGTTTGTTAAGAACAGGTCGATTAAAGTTGTAATTAACTGGTCTAATTGATATAGAGAGCATGACAGTTGGAGTCTCCGCGTATGGGAATCTGGCACTGCCTTATCCAAGTCACAGTTTATTTCTCCAACAATCATCAATTCTTTATTTTCAAGGTCGCACTTGCGCAGAAATAAATCAAATTCGTAAGAAATATCATTATTGGAATTAGGTGGCCTATACCAAGTACTTATTAAGAAAGCCACTTTATGTGGTCTACGTACTTCAATACATATCATTTCTAGGGGTTCTGGAACTAGATCTTTCCTTTCAGAGAAAGACATAGTATCTCTAATATATAGGACGACGCCACCCCCAGATCTATTTCGATCATTGCGCACCATAATATATCCAACTATATTAATTTCATTATCGGGAATTGAATCATCAATTTTTGATTCGTTAATTGCAAGAATATCTATGGACGAATTGGCTAGAGGTACACGTAGCTCGTCTATGTGTTTTAGCAGACTATTTATATTCAAACTTGCCATTTTAAAACCTTTTAATTTAGTTATAGCATGCAGCGGGTGGTCATAGATACCTGATGCTGTGCCATACGTTAAGTCAGTTAATTTTTTCTTCTGTGGATGTTCTTCTGTGGTTGGACAATTATTTCCAACAGTTCTCCAAGTTTCTGAATCATTGATCTCTGAAAATCCTGATGTCTTTGTTTCCGTGGTGAGGCTGATGCACTGCCTCCCTTGAGGAAATTAATAAAGTGAACCGCTAAGATGGGCGAACCTTTCGCGTTTAGATGGAGCTTACTGCCATTTAAACATGTATCATCTATAGTTGAGTTGACAATAAATGAAATTTCCAATTTCTTACATATGTGCCCAATTTTCTTATTGACCTCTTGAATCTTTTCTAACATAGCAATATCATGACGCACCCGTTAGACCAGATATAGCAATATCATGACGCACCCGTTAGACCAGATAGACCAATTTTCGAG